CGAAGATATGGGGCAAAAAGTGCCACAAACGGTAACTCAGTTTATAAGAGAACGGAACGTCCGATTTGAATAGTTCAAAAAACATTTTACTTGTATTGACAAGATGAAGAACTGATCAATTTTTTATGAAGGCAGGTCTAGCGGTTTCGGAGAACTAGTGAAAAAAGTAAAAAAATGCCATTTGGCGGTCAAAAATAATCATTAGACAGAGGCACATCAAATTATCAGATATTTTACAGAGATTTTTACAATAAGTTTAAATTTTATTTACATTCATATGGGTTCCGTACCAATGTTTATCCGCTAGACGGCGACGCGGCGCTTACGCGCTTTGATATTTTGTCTCTATGCAGTTAAAGCAGTACGATAGCTTTGAAAAAATGTTCAGAATTTCCAAATTATTTCAAAATAAAGAAAAAATCTCTATTTTTTTTTAATTTTTCGTCAAAAATTTATAGTTTCTCAAAAATTTATAGTTTTCGAAAAAAATTTTCGAAGTAAAATTTTTTCAAATGTTTATCTTTTAAAAAAAAAAAAACTTTTGGTACGGGAAGTTCCAGCAATTAAGGCACTAGTTTATTTTTATATTTAGAGTAAGTTTACTGTACATAATTGGTGACCCGAACTTCCGAAATATTTTTTACTGGCATTAGATGAAGATAATTTGCTTCGATTGAGTATAAATTTACTTTATTCGAGAATAGTTATACTCATAATCACATTTTTAGTAATAACATAACAATAAATAGTACATCGGGTTTAAAAAAAATATAATTTTTCCTAATTATTTAAAAATATTTTAAGTAGCATTGAAGAAGGTCTGACTTAAAAGAGCACTCTCTTATCTTTTACTAGCCTGAAATGAAGATATTTTTTGTAAGATAAAAGATAATAAAATTCCTTTAGCTCTTTACAAAATATTCTCAAAAAACTAGGTGTAAGTGGCATTTTGCCTTAGAACAAGTGGTATGAACTTTTCTTATTTAGTTGTTTGATATGTGTTATGTGCTTTGATGTATGTTCTTTGGTTTTTACAGTATAATCATTGCTGATATCGCAATAACAGAATATAACAGAATCGCATTTTTGTTTAGATTTTTAATTATATGTATCAACACAGCAATGCGTAATAGAGTACTGGTAGTTAATTATAAACTTTATAAAATTTCTGAAAAAATATTTTTTTACCTTGCTAACTTATAATTGCAATTATAATTCTGTTACTTTTTTCGCCCAGCTCCCTGTCTATGAGACATTGTACTGAAATGAGTGATTCGAAACATAATGGTCTTTATTCTGTGTTTTGTTAGACAGGATGTTCTCAATTACTCGATATAAAATATAAAGCACGAGAAGCTGAAGCAGACCAACCAACGCACATAGGACATACATACATTTAAATGCACATCTTTACAAAAGTTAATATTGCATTTATATCTATGTTTTGTTTTATCTCTCGACGGCCAACGCTTTTGCTGCATATCAAATGTTTGCCCTTGAATTTTCATATTGATGTCATTTTAAAATGCTATGGTAATTAGGTTCTACATGTTAATTGATTTTCATAATAAACATTTCAATTGTGCAGGGTGTCCCAGAACTCAACAACCCAAAATGGGATGACAGTATTGATTGCAACTGTAATTCAAAAAAGAGTGCGCGTAAGGTTCATACGCGATGTAAAACTGTACAAAGTAGCAAATTTAAGTTTAGTAAAAATAAATACATCATATAACAATTTTGAATAATGTTTATTAGTAATATGGTTATACTCGTTATGCACACATGTATTAGTGTCGACCATTATACACATTTATATAATGATAAATTATAAATTATATATATATGATAGCATTAAAAATATGTATAATATTTAAAAACAATAATGTAATTAATCTCGTGCTTCAAATATGACATGATCGGTTTGTCATTGTAATTAACATTTAGAAATGAACCTTTATTAGAGAAATGAAGTAATTGCTGATTAATAAATTCGATTATGTTAAACAACGCCTAAACAAATATTGTTTTCGCAACTTCACTCATTATTTAATAATTGTGTTTGAAGAACTTCATGCAATTAAAATTAACATACATTCATTGACTGATGGTATTTTTTTGACTTTTCGCTGGCGATATAATCTCGTTCTTTGAACAGCTGTAATATCTGTCTTATAAATAAATATTTATAGAAACTACGAATAATATGGAAATAATTTATAATCAATAAACTTACGTTTCTTACATCGCACAGATTTTTCATTTGCTCTATTATTTGCACTAGGGGGACGAGATAAAATATTTTTCTGATCCATACATTTTTTTAACTCAAGATTTGTACTAATTTTTGATATTAAAATGTAATGACATGAAACGCCGAAAAATGAAAAATATGCTTCACGCTTTCGGTGACGTACGCACGTACAAAGAGTCTCGCACAAATACGACGACTAATCACAATCGACCTGTATAGAAATGATATCGTCGAGAGCGAATGACGAATCATTGGCACTCGACTCTGCCGTAACGCACTTCCGTTGCATTTGTACAAATTTACACCCTAGTCGCGCCTAAAGAAGTTTTACTTCAAAAATGTACCTCATTGTGCATTTTTCTTGGGTTTTCATGTTTAACTCATTTTTTTTATTTTAGTATCACACTAACGAATATTGTTTAATTTTTCAAACCTGAATGCCTAATTGAACCATAATAATGTTTAAATGATCAAAGCACTAATAAAATGATGTAGTTTTACCAAATATATTTTGATTTTCGAAAATGGATCTGAGACATTATTTATACGTTTGACGTAAAAATACGTAAATATGTATGAATTAATTTAATTTCTACCTTATAAATATTCTGAAATTGTCCAACTGTAAAATCCGGTTATTACTTCCAATCCAACAACCGCATTTGTAAATAAATATGAATAGTTCAATATCTGCGGTCAAACCATTTTATTTCTAGTATGGAAATTAAAAACAGCGGTTTTTAATAAATAATTTCAAAACGAAATTGTTACTTTCATTATCCAAGACAAGTCTCGAAAAGATTGTAGAATTCTTTTGCATTTAAATAGAGAAATCATGAAACGGATGCTTTTCTAGAACTATATGGGTCAATGTAAATGACAAGTTGAAAAGTCGATTTTCATACAAATAGTAAATTTCTTACAATCTATGGTTTTGGGGATTTGAAAGTTTCTTCTTAAAACAGTCAAAAACTTTGTTGTAAAAAGTAATAATGGATTGAGACATAACATCAATAAAATGCATGTTTTTTTTTTTTTCAAAAAGATGATTATAAAATCTATAAGTTTCGAAAAATATTCTATTTTTATAGTGCTGTAATAAATTGGTAATAAGTATAAATATAGAAATTTGCAAGAAAAAATGACTGTTATGTACAAAATAATTATAAATTTTCTATAAATAAATTTAATTGGCAAACACTAAGCGGCACAACAAATGAAAACATATGACGCAAATAAAGAACAATACATCGTCTTCTATTTAAATATTATTACACACTATATATATATAAGAATATATTTATATATACATATGTATTTTATATTTTAGAACAAGTTAAGTGTAAAAAAAAACTAGAAAATATCCACCTACAAACGTATTAAGTCGAGCGAGATAAATTGATAGTTTGATCGTTGCCAATTTAAAAATAAAGATTTCTCATTAAACGTTTTGAATAGATAATATTTCTCATATATATTAATACCTCATTCACAAAAATCAAATGGGTAAAAGTTTTTGCAAATGGATAAAAGTGGTGGAAAATGAGATATGGTATTATTTTACACAATTAAAAGCTAAGTGAAAAAGGCTAAAAATATAATCACAGCTAGAAAGAACAACCATTGGGTTGCCTAAAAATTTACAAAACAATTACTAAAATGTCTTTACGAGATAGACCAATTGTAATTCATATAGAAATACACCAAAAGAAATACTATATTACATTTTATGTTCAGAGTTCATTTAATTTTGACCAAATTTGCTTCAAAATTTGATTTTTTTAAAAGCCTCAAACGATTTTATATTTATTGCAAATCAGTCTGATTATTTCCAAATATTGGGATGTTCTTGAAACTGGCCTCAAGGCAAAATTCTACTAACACCTAGTTATTAATGTATTTATTATTAACTTCCCTAAATGAAAATTTTTGCATTTCTCGACGTTTTGAGGGCTTCTGAACATTTTGGCATACCTCAGAAAAAATGGATGTGTGTGTGTGTGTTCTGTGTGTTTTGTATGTCCGCATTTTTTCGTCCACGTTTTCGGGCGCACGGATCAACGGATTTGAATAATTGTTTTTGAGGATAAAAAATCATTTCATCTTTTTTTTTATTTTCCATAAAATATTTTTGTAGTTTTAGATTAAAAATTCAAAAAATTACCCAGGCTAAGCACAGTCTAAGGTACAAATGTTTACAGAAGTGCGTTTAGACATTTTATGTCCAATTTTGTGAAAACTATTGAAAAATGTGAAAATGCCGCCAAGCTAAGCACAGTATAAGTGAAAATGTCGCACAGAATGTGATTTACATTTGATTTGCTCAGATATAACAAGATAGCAAATTTAATGAAAGTTACAGTACTTGTAATAATATATATGAAAACGTTTGAAATTTCTCTAATGTTTTATTACGGTACGGGAAGTTCCAGTAATTTGCTTTAAGGCACGATGCCATACACCAGTTAGTTATTACTATTATTATTTATGAATATTTTATACACTATATATATTGCTGATGTTTGTGTATTGTGATGACTAATCTGAATGGAATTTTAGAGTCACTTGTTGGTGACCCCTATGTGACATATGCGATAATATTGCGGCGTATTAATACCTTCTATATTTCATTATATATATACATATTATCTTTATATTAAGGTTATCTCGACATTTCTAAAAATACACCGAATTCCGTCTCCTAACATTTTGACCTTTGGTTAATTTCTGTGTTTTTTCCTTTAAGGTCCATGGGCATTCTACTTCCTCCTGTGTCGCAAGTGACCAGCTGCCATTCCATCCTGAGTTCGACGAATTCGACATATTCGCCGGTAAATAATTCGACACTGGGCTATGTGGCACCTGTACATCCACCAGGACACTCTTTAAGTATATACACAGGTAATAAGTCAAAGACATCACCAAATTATCGATATCAGGAGATAAACGGCCACATTGTTAAATTTTTAACGAAAGAAGATAAATTTTAGAAAAATAGCAAAAAAATATTTCTACAGACTAATTAGCTGTGAATTGTACTGAACATAGTTCAATTTTTGTTTTGTTTGTTCGGTATATGATATTTGTTGTGATTTAGTTGGTTTTTACTACCCCAGGTGCAAATTATGCAAACTCATCAGGCCTGGTACATCACCAGCAACATCACCAACGAAATCGAAGTTTAGATTCGGTTCTGCAAAGGATACCAGAAGTTGACATTACGCCAAGTCCGACGGAACCACCACCTGCTGATCACACGCCCATTCACGGTAAGATAATAGAATCACCAGAGTTGATTTTTTTTTTATTAACTTCCCGAAGGAGAAGTTTATGTTTTCATCAAAAAATCCGATTCGCTAATTTTATGTTTTCTCGACGTTTCAAGCCGTTCTGAATCGAATGAGACCAACATTTGGAAAAAGTATGTGTGTGCATGAACAGATGTTTTGCCGTAAACCGAGTTGTTTTATAAAAGACGGCTAGAACGATTTCAAAAATTTAAAAGCCATTCGATGTATTTCGATGAGGACTAGAGTTTATCAATTTTGATCGACGATCAGCCAAGCCGTTTCTTTGTAAATCGCAGAAAAGTGAAAATAATTTCGTCCACGTTTTAGCCCGCAATTCTGAATCGATTGTGAAAATTCAAAAACCGTTCGAAAGATATTGGTTGGTAATGCGTGCTGATTAGTTTTTGGTAGAGATTGGCCGGGCCGTTTTCTTGTAATAAAGTGTTAAAAAAAATTCCACGATTTTTATTATTTTTTTGACCGTAGATACCATAGTCTTTTAGATCCTACTAAAATATTACGGTCCTACGACAACTCGTTTAGCTTTAAAAATTCGTCAAAGTTTGCAAAAATTGGTATCGATTTTTTGGCATTTGCCAAAGTTAAAACTTTCATCGACCTTTTCTCAAAAACGCCTGAACCGATTTCAGAAATTTAAAAGTCATTTGATGTATCTCGATGACTACTATCGTTCGTCAGTTTTGTTTGACGATCTGACAAGCCGTTTCTTTGTCATTTGAAAGAAGTGTTAGACTTTTCGTCCACATTTAAGCTCATCCTACCGAATCGATTTTAAAAAATCAAAAACTGTTTGAAAGATATTAGTGGGGAATGATTCTGATTAGTTTTAGGTGAAAATCTACCGAGCCGTTTTCTTGTAATTAACTGTTGAAAAAAAATTTAGGCCGATTTTTATGGAACTTTTTTGGGCGATATATATCATGGTCTTATAGAACTTACTGAAATATTACAGTCTTACGACAAGTAGTTTAATTTTAAAAATTCTTCAAAGTTTGAGAAAATGAGTAGTTTTTTTGACGTCTGTTGATATTAAGATTAGACGATTTATTTGGTATAACGATAGAGTACTTGGTCTTGATGAACATACTGAACCATCAAAGTTCTACGGAAACTGGTTCAATTATAAAAATTGTTTATTTTTGAAAATTTGCTCTTAGAAAATATTCCGAGTTAACGTGTTCGCTCGTTTTCATACTTCAATCACTTATAAATTAATTTATTTTTTATTGATCGAGTCGATTATTTACACATATCGGGAGGAAGTTCATGTAAATTGCCTCAAGGCAAAATACCAATACCAATTAGTTTTTATTTGATTTTTAGGATATGGTAAGGGTAGGATATGGATGTTAGATAATAGAATCACCAAAGTTGATTTTTTTATTAGATTTTTCGGATATGGAAAGGCTAGCATATGGATGTTTCGATTTGATTTAATTGGCAATATATTTTTATTTCAGTTGGACATCCTTTGAGTGTGCATCATCTGAAACTGAAAGCTCATCAAAGTCAAGCACAATCAGAAACGTGCGTCCAGTCCATGACAATTAAGAATAAACCTTTATCCAGCATCATATCGTCAGCAAATCAGAGCAAAAACCAGAGGAACGAGAGAGATGAACTCACCAGTCTGGGATCTGACGATTCTGGTAAGGAAATATAAAATCCATTAAGGGGGTATTCTAGTATAGAAATTAAAAAAAAATCGATTTTTTTTATTTCATATTTCAAAGTTCAACTATCTAAGAATATGGGTACGAGAAGGTTTTTGAAAATTTGGGTTATTTTTGGAGATATAGGCATTTCACTGGCCCGATCTCCAAACTGGTTTAATTGGACCAAAGGCATTAGGAAGTCATTAGATCAATTTAGGATAGTTTATCGTCAGATGAATTATTAATTCGATGTATAGGTTCAGAAACTCATTATTGTTCACGTACAATTTTGTCTACTCGTGTTAACTCCATATATGCTTAGGTTAATTTCAAAAATTCATAACGGTTGTACTATGCATAATTAAGAACTGTAATTTTAGTATGTTTTACTATAAAGTATATACTATGAGTGTACATTTATACAATTTTATATTTTCGAACAAATTAGTAAAGTTTTTAGACATGTAACAGCATTTTGTTACGTACAACTTTGAGAACAATAATGAATCTTTAAACTCGTTGATTTGGATTTTCGCGCCGAAACACATTCATTCCCGATCTCGGGTAATTGAAATAGCAATATTTTGTTGCTGTTTGCATATTCAATGAAGGTTTCTTTTCGATTTTAAAAATGATGACTCTTATGGTAATGCAAATTGGGCCAAAAACTCATTCATTTGCTGTAAGATAAGACAACGCTTCAAAGGAGGTTAGAACTGCTCCATTGGAAGAGAGAAATGCAGAAAATTTTTTTTTTTGAAGTAGAAGAAGGTCCGTTGCATAAAGCAGGAATGACAAATTAAATAAAAAAAAGTATAACATATTATTTTTTTACTTTGAGAGCAAAAAACTTCACGCAAAACTTTAAATGCGTTTTTCTCAGAACTGACTTTTTCAGTACTGTTGACACGATTTCTCGAGTTCTACTCGACCGATTCACTGGAAATGTTCAAAGAGTCTTGTTTATAGACCTATCTGTAGCCCGAACTAGAATCATCCCCAAATTCAGTAAAAAAAACTCAGTGAAACTCAAAAAAAAAAATATTAAAAAAGACACTTTTTTTCAAACAGTCGTCAATTTCCGATGGCTAGGAGGGCTGAAATCATGCCAAGACTGAGGTGCCAATTTTTTGAGACCACCCATTTCATCAGCTGCCAATTTCTTCAATTTTCACCTTTTTTGTTTTAAATTTTGTTTTGTATTTTAATAATATTAATAAACAAGTGTTTTATTTATTAATAAAAAAATGGATAGTAAAAACATTCATTGCTTTCTTTTACGACACTTTAAAAATGTTCTAAAATTCATTGCTCTACACTAGATTACCCCCTTAAATCGACAAGAATTCTTTGTCGTTAACCAATTTGTATTTTCTAGGTATAATGTGTGGTTCAGAGAGCGGCGACAGCCTCCGCCTGATCAAAACCCACCATTTAGACCTGAACCTAGTAAACCAGCCCAGGAGCAGGACGGAAAGCCTAGAAGACGACTCCGATCTGGATCTAAACCTAGATGCAAACTCAGACGATCTGGTCAACCTGGAAGAAAACGGAGTATCACCTACCTGCAATCAAGATGACATTGTCACAAGTGAAACAAATGAACTTTTACCAGACCAAAGTGAACATTCGAACAATGTTGAATCGGTGCAGGTGGTTAATTTAGTGCCCAGGATAAGTTTAGAGGATAGGTCGAGTGAAATGGTGGTGGACGGTTTGTGCCAGAAACTTAATGGAAAGTGTTTTGTTACGGACTCAAATGCTGAGAGTTGTAGTGGTAAGGATGAAGAGACTGGTGTTAAGATTGAGAAAGTCGATGGTGGTGAAGAAGGAGTTGTGGAGATTATTAGCAAACAGGAACCGCCTTCCGGGGCAGGATTTAAGGTAGAATAAAGGATAAGTAGTAAATAATAAATAGAAGTCTGTCCGAAGGCAGGTTCATGGTATGGGAGCATCGATCAATTATTTCCTCAAGCAAATTGTAATAGATGCAAGTAGTATAAACATATAGGCATGTATATAATTCAGCCTTCAGAATGATTTTTTTACTAAGGTATATTAATTTTTATGCACAACTAGATGACCTGACAGACGTTGTGCTGTACCCATGTCTACAATTTTTTAATATAACATACTAATATTTACCGTTTACCTAAAAATAAGAATTATTGTATTTTAAATTACTCTTCACGCCTAAATGCATATACATTTATAATACGAGCAGTGTTAAATGTAGAACTGCTTTAAATAAAATGATGAGTCTCGATACCCACACTATATTCGGAATTGAAGTCTTTTAAACGGTATAACATAATCATAACCATAACATAACACTGGTACTTCATGTTAGATTAAATTAATTTATTTTCATATTATTTAAGATATCCAGAATTGCATTTTAAACTTCTCCTAATCGATATCGTGAGGGCCGAATTGAATGCATTCATCTCTACTTTCCCATTTGTTGTTATAAAGTGAAATTTTTACAAATTTTAAAAATATTGTGTAATTATTAGTAAAAGATGCAAAGAAATTATATATTGAAAAAAAAAACTATATTGAAAATTTAATATCCGAATCTTGTGTTGGCGCCCCCTAAGGCGTGCGCTCGTATTTTTCCCATGCATTGCATTGAAGGTAGGACCGGCCCTGATTAATACTTAATTTCATATTTTAAGTGAATTAATTTGTCATATCCTGTTCATATGTGTATCATTCAATCTGCCATACATATACTGTATATTATATTATTTTAATTTCTGGCACATCTCAGCTGCTTTTTTGGCAATAATAATGTAAACATTTCATTTTTCTTATTCATAATCATAAATTTGTTATATATATTCTAATATTGTCTAGGTTCATAAGTAAATTGAAATTTTTTGGCAGATGATAGTTTTCATTTGTTTTTTAATGCAAACAATGACATGTCGTTTTTTTGCATTTTATATACATCCTAGAAAATTTTCTTAACAAACTTCAGAAAGGTTTATCAAAATCCGAATAATCGTTTAGAAGTAGTATAAAGCGAGTGCTTGTAATTTAATATGAATTTTATATAATAGCAATAAAGCTCGAATTGATTCTACGTTTTAGTTAGAAAACGTTTGTATGTGAAAAAGAAAAGAGCTGTTTTTAGGGTTTTCCCGGCAATTATTAGATTTTTTCTCGCCGTAAGAACCATCCTTGGACTTCAACGAACATTTTAAAAACAAGAATTGGCCAAATTGGTTCAGGCGTTGTTGAGTTATGAGCTTACCAACACATTTTGCGATTCATTTTTATATATAAGATTACGAAGACTGCTGCTTGACATCAAGCTGTCCGAGGCGTGTATCTAACCCTTATTACGAAGTCTATATCTTTAACCACTAGGACGAGAAGAAGCCTTAGCAAAATACCTAAACATATTTTACGTTTTATTTAAAAATCTGTTATTGCAAATAAGAAAATGCAAAAATATTAAATATTTATAAATATTATACCGTTATCTCGGCGATTAGTAATACCCGATGTATTACTGATGTATTATCGGTTGATTGATTATATTTAATTAAAATAAATATTATTATGCAATGCGATTAGAATTTTTGTTTACGTAATTCACAAACAATTACGACTCGAGTAAAAATTAATGATAACGTTCGTCGTCGACAATTGATGGTAATGTATAAAAGAATTCTTTATTGAATTTCAAGGAGTTCAACTTCATTTCAGCTATTATTGATTGTTTCGATTGATTAAATTAAAGCGATGATTGTTACAAATTCGTATTGATAATTTAAAATTGTAAAATTGACATAAAACTCTAAAGAAAAATAAATGGTTTTTATGTAAAGCTTAAACTAGTGGTGTATGGCATCGTGCCTTAAGGCAAATTGCTGGTACTTCCCGTACCTTAATGAAATATTCGAGAAATTTTAAACGTTTTCAAATATATTATTACAAATACTGTAACTTTCATTATTTTTGCTATCTTGTTTGTTATATCTGAGCAAATCAAATGTAAATCATAAATCAATTTATCTCCAGAACATTAACAATCGTCGTTTCATTTCTAATTCAATTTAAAAAAAAAATAGTTGCCTAATTTACACAAAATTGAAAAAGCACTCCCGTATAGTCACAGTCTAAACGCATTTGCAAATAATTCTGTGCGACATTTTCACTTATACTGTGCTTAGCTTGGCGGCATTTTCACATTTTTCAATAGTTTTTTTTTCACAAAATTGGAAATGTGCTCCAGTAAGTAAACAGTCTAAACGCACTTGGGTAAACATTTGTACCAGAGTGGCGCTTAGACTGTGCTTAGCCTGGGTGATTTTTTGAATTTTTAATACAAAATTATAAAAATATTTTATGGAAAATAAAAAAAAGATGTAATAATTTTTTATCCTCAAAGCAATTGTTTTGTCAATACAAGCAGAAAGTTTTTTAGATCATTCAAATCGGACGCTTAGTTCACTCAAAAACTGCCATTTTTTGCACATTTAGCTCTGTATCTTCGAAATGGCGGGACCTGACTTTGCCAAAAACTAATCACCTCTTCTCCTAATCATTACAAATTGAATGTTTTTTAGATCATTCAAATCCGATACTCCGTTCTCTCAAAAAATCGATTTCTATTTTCTGCATTCTTTGCTCTGTATCTCCGTAACAGCTGCACCTGCTTTTGCCAGAAACTAATCAGCACATCTCCCTATCAGTAGGGATGGAATGTTTTTTAAATCATTCAAATCGGTTGATCCGTGCGCCCGAAAACGTGGATGAAAAAATGTGTTCGCATTTACAAAACTTTCACACACATACACATACACACACATCCATTAGTTTTCTGGGGTATGCCAAAATGTTCAGAAACCTTCAAAACGTCGAGAAATGCAAAAAATTTCATTTTAGATTTTCCGCCCATTACTATAACAGTACATCTAATTTGGATAGATCTCGATTTGGTTTCTCATTTGAATATAAATTACAACATAATTACAACACCTTCAGTCGCCAAAAAAAAGCTTGGTGATGACATCATGCTTCATACGAAAGTTGGCAAGGTGTAGGTGGATGAGAAAGAAGCCATCGACATCAACAACAAATATGTATGCAATTATTTCCATTACCATTTTAGGATTTCACCCTGCGCCTGCTGGAGTCCAAACTCTTCGACATGTCCTTCGCCATTCACTATTTGTTCAAATCGAAGGAACCAGGAGTCCAGATGTACATCGGCAACAAGATCTTCTCCTTCAAGGACCAGGATGTCGACTTTTATATTCCTCAAATGGTCAGCATGTACGTCCAGATGGCCGATGTGGCGGAGGCTATTCATCCTTACTTGGTGCACAGGTAAAAAATATAATTATATAACTAAGTAATGTAATATTTATAATATAACTAGCAAACCCGACGAACTCCGTTTCGCCACCAGATGGTTTCGTGAGAAAGATGAAGAAATTTTTTGTTTGTTTTATATTTGAAAAGGAAAAATTTGATTTTATTGCACAACAGTAATGAATTTATTTCGATTACAAAAATCGAAGTGTTTTTTAGTTGAACTTCTCTAATAAAATGAAAGTGAATCCGCCAATTATCCGTTTCATTGAAGTGCTCTTTGGTAAACCACATTTTTTGTTTTTTGGTCTGACGTTAACACAAACAAAGCGGATGGCTTTTCATATATATATATATATATATATATATATATATATATATATATATATATATATATATATATATATATATTGTAAGTAATATATTAATATATTAACTACTTCAATTTATTTATGTTTTAGGTGCAGGCAGAGTGTTGATTTTTCTTTAAAATGTGCTTGGTTACTCGAGGCTTACAGTTCTGATGCTGAATTGTCGACGAAGAAGAAGTCACATGGAACCAAGCTACGGAATCACATATTAAATGATGAGTTTAGGTAAATAAACGGTGTACTGTACCACTCGTACAGTTCCAAATATGTCTTGAGATTGTTTCTTCCGAAGGAAGTGAAAATAGATATATCAACCAGTATCGTTTTTTTAACAGGCCAAGAGATTCAGAAAACCAGCGCAAAAAATCATCACAAGGCGGTGTAAGTCAAAACGAGAACTCCCTTGCCGTCAACCAGACAGTGACCAACAGATTTCTATCCCCGATCAAAAAGACCCATCAGAGATCACAATCGGATGCCACTGGACTTTACCAAGGTAAAATAAAGGGTATACAGCAATATATACAAAACAAGACATTGACAGTGTAGAGTAGAGATGGGTAACTCACTCCGTAGTTATCACTTCGATACCACTCCTCCCTTGGAGTGAATCCGAGTGGAGTTGTCTCACAGGATTTGTCATATCCGACTTCCCTAAACTGATACTAAATCTGTTAACATGTGCAGATATTTGCTTGAGATTTTTTACTTTTACAAAGATTTGAGTCGAAAGAAATGTCTTTTTCTCTAAGGACTTTCCGGGTACACAATGTCTCAAAATAATGCTATTTTGTATTCTATATTCTGTATACGATAATGTTTGTCTGTAAATGAGCTCTCCCAATGGTATACCACCAGCTAAAAAATATTTAGTATTATATTATAACTTTTACACAATTATGATTTGACAATTATGACAAAAGTAAATAGTATGCTAATCAAACCATACCTGATGTATAATTAATTCTTGAAAAGTAAATAATACTAGTGGGGTGGGTGGCATCGTGCCTTAAGGCAAATTGCTGGAACTTCCCGTACCGTAACGAAATGTTCAAGGAATACTGAATGTTTTCAAATAAATTATCATAAATATTGTAACATTGTCTAATATTTATAAGAATTATATAAACTGAATTGCAAAGTTGAAATTATTTGTTTAAAGTATATTGGAACTATAGTCAGAATTAAAAATTAAATCTGAATTATTTTCGATATACAAAAAATTAAAAAAAAAAAAATTTGAACAATTTTTTTTTTCAAAATCAATTATTTTGTTAAAACAAGCAGAAAGTTATTTGAATCATCTGAATCAGATGCTTAGTTCTCTCAAAAACTGTCATTTTTTGCTCTGTATCTCCGAAACCGCTGGACCTGCCTTTGCCAAAGACTAATCACCCCTTCCCCCCGTCAATACGAATTGAATGTTTTTTAAATCATTCAAATCGGATGCTCCGATCTCTCAAAAACTCGATTTCTATTTTCTGCACTCTTTGCTCCGTATCTCCGAAACGGCTGGACCTGCCTTTGCCAAAAACTAATCAGCACATCCCCCTATCAATAGAAATCGAATGTTTTTTGAACCATTCAAATCGGTTGATCCGTGCGCACGAAAACGTGACTGGAAATTTGTATCCACACACACATACACACACACACACACACACACATCCATTTTTTCTGAGGTATGCCAAAGCGTTCAGAAACCTTCAAAACGTCGAGAAATGTAAAAATTTTCAATTCCGATTTTCGGCCCATTACAATAACTTACCCTACGGGAAGTTAAAAAAAAATGTGAGGTATTATTATTTTGTGAAAAATATTATACACAAAGATTTGTTCTCATTTCATATATAAGGTTCACTGCATTAGTTTCATATAAAAGTAAACATATACAAAGGATTCTCTATTTTCTCTTCAAAAATAATTACAAAATTGATTTTGATTCCCAAGTTTTTTGTCAATTTGAGATTTGTATGCATAATGTAGTAGTAATTATTATAATAAAAGAAACAAAAATGTTTGAACCATTTGTAAACTATTTCCAAAATCTCAGTAAATCTTTAGATATGTTAACAACACACTATAAAACACATTTGTGTCAAGTATTATGTTTCAAAGTTGTAGGAGTAGTGGAGTTGTTAAGTGGATATAACTCCTCTCTGAAGTGGAGTCAAATCCTAATCAATCCGGCTTCGGATATGATAAACCCATCTCTAAGAGTCTATGGTGAAAATTGTTTGTTTTAGGTTTAAGAAGACTGATCAAAGCTCCATTTAGTCCTAAATTGACACTAGGCGATTTGGACAGTGGACGTGCCTTCGATAATGGTTGTACCTGCTTCGATTCTCGAACAGGAGCCGTTAATGAATTGAGAGGACGGAGAACTTACTGCTCTTGTGGGGTAAAATTAATTTAGTAACTAAACAACCGACCAAGATCGATTTCTAAACCAACAATTTCCTTCCAGGCTCCGAGGTTAGCTCCACAAATGGAATTCATCCAAAGTCTACTGACCATCGGTCGATTATTAGCCACAGTACCTTCCAAAGAGACAAGGACTGCTCGCCTGCAAGCACAACTTGGTAAATTGAACTTGAATTTACCGGCAAGGGTTTGGCTACCTATACATTCAAGGTACGATGGCAAAGATTGTAGTCAATTTATGTGTAGAGTTGTAAAACTGATTGTGTTGTTTGTAGAACACCACATCACGTTGTCAGGATTCCACCACAGGCTAGTGCTTGTCTGAATAGCAAGGACAAGGCGCCTTATATAATATATGTTGAGGTTTTGGAGGTGGAAGACTTCTACGCGTGTCCTGTACCTGCCAAAGTCATGGGCACTAATTTGAGGCATACCAAGAGCGAAGAGCACCTGTTAATAAATGCTGCTAACACCAGTAATACAACAAATTCGAATTCTGCAGAAAATGGTGATGCTTCCAATAATGTTATGCTAGAGGAACCACTTTGTGATGCGATTGTTGATGCTGACAACTGCTGGTCGCAAGAGGACGATGAAATATCACAACAGGTACCAAAATATCAGTCAAACAATTGTGAAAATATTTTTACCATCTGTTTTTTTATTAGTATCTACAACTCCGGACGACTTCACGTAACAATTTGGAGCGCGACACGATATCCCAGTTGTCACAATTGTCTCAGGATTCATCAGAGACTACGAATAGCCAATGTGCTTACAATGGTGTTACGAATTCTGGTGCCAATGGTGGAAGCAATCAGGCTGGTGGAACCCAGCAAACTAGTCATAATTTTAATCCTGGCGACATCAGAAGAAGGTTGTCTGAATGTCTGAACGGCAGCGAAAGGGAGAAGAACTTTAAACACGATCCTGAAGATCCTTCAGCTGCTGCATTAAAGGTAAGGAAAAGATGGAAGACAATTTATGCAGAATTGTTATACTCAATTTGTATTTATCCAGGAACCTTGGGAGGATAAACAAAGAAGAGTCAGGGCTGATTCCCCGTACGGTCATTTATCAAATTGGAGACTCTTGTCTGTGATTGTCAAATGTGGAGATGATCTGCGTCAAGAATTGATGGCTGAGCAGTTGTTAAGGATGTTGCAACAGATTTGGCAGCAGGAACGTGTACCGCTTTGGTTAAGACCTTACCAGTAAGTGACAAGAGAGTAAAATAAATTGTGTTGGTTCAGGATTTATGGAATAACTAATTATGTTTGTTCAGGATTATGTGCATAGGTAACGACTGTGGACTGATTGAACCAATTTTAAATACGGTGTCCCTGCATCAGATCAAGAAGCATCGTCTGAACTTGTCTTTGTTGGAACATTTTTATAGAGAGTTTGGTTCAGCAAATTCTGAAGAATTTCTTATGGCACAAAGGAACTTTGTTGAGAGTTGTGCAGCTTATTGTTTAGTCTCTTACCTAGTCCAGGTTAAAGACAGGTAAGACTGATTTAATACAACTGCCTTTTACAGATTATTAACAATTGTTTTTCCAGGCATAATGGCAATATACTCCTAGATTCAGAAGGCCACTTAATCCACATTGATTATGGATTCATATTGTCCTTGTCTCCAAGAAATTTGGGATTTGAGATGTCACCGTTTAAGTTGACCCCAGAATTTGTGGAAGTGATGGGCGGCTGTGAATCTGATCTATTTCGATATTTTAAGGTTTTGATGTTGCAAGGTTTGATTGCTGCCAGAAAACACATGGATAAAATTACTGGTTTGGTGGAGATCATGAGAAGTGGTAAAGGATAATAATAATAATAAATGGTTGCCTGCTGCCTAGTTCTGTTTAAAATGTTTTTTTTTATCTTTTTTCAGGTTCACAACTCCCCTGTTTCAAATCAGGTGCAGGAAATACTGTGCACGATCTCAAAAATCGTTTCCATTTGTCTCTGACAGAGGATCAACTTTGTGAATTGGTGGAGCATCTTGTCGAGTCCAGCATGCACTCAATATCGACTAAGTTGTATGATAGTTTTCAGTATCTCACTAATGGAATTCAGTAAAGCCAACTTGTATAAATAATTATAGATTTATAATGATGATAGATAAATTTTTGTATATTGTTCATAAAAATTATATTATAGTTAAGCATACATGAAATGTTTATAAGATTTTTTATTCCGATATATATATATATATATATATATATATATATATATATTTATTATTGGTAATTTACATCAATGCAATAATATAGATATATCTATATAATAAAATTATATGTATATATATATATATATATATATATATATAAATTTTACAAATTTCTTCTTAATTTATAATATGATAAAAAAAGACCTGTCCTAGGGAATAAGTTATCTAAATACTATTATTAAAATAAAGTCATAACTTTAAGAATTAATTCCTAAAAAAAATAATACTCAAAAAAAACTATTCTATCATATTAAATATGTTTAAATTAAGAATTTATATGCCTTTTTGTCTATAAATATAAATATAACTATATAAATATTAGAGAAAGAGAGTCATCATTGCAATAGATAGATTTTAGCTTATTTTATATAAATAAATATTATATTATATTATATTATATTTAATATTGTTATAAGGACTTAGTGAAAGGATGCCATAAGTTCTTCTCAAAGTTCAATCATCAAATAAATAAATTATACGTGTATACTGATTTGACTAATGTTAGCTCTGGTATACCATGAAAGATTGATTCCTTTTTATATTGCAATTTTTCTGGTGTTGTCTCAAAGTCAAGAATTGATTTAATTACTGGTTTCTGGTATATCACTAAAAATCCCTTTCGATTTATATTTTGTATTGCAAAATTTGATTTCTGATAAAAGGTTGTGGCTTTTCGAAGTGTATATGATGTGTGAGATTTGTTTCTCAAAAGTGTCTTATTTTTATCATGTAGCTCCTACTCTATTAAAGCCAAATTATATTATTAACCGTTTCATAGAAATTGTAGTAAAATTAATATTTATCAAGTTTATATGCATATATATATATATATATATATATATACATATATAAATATATATTTAAAAAAAGATGTACATATAAAATATATAATAATAGATAAGTATTTGCATTTGCTAATCTAATACTAAATAATGTTTATTGAAACTTTTGACTGTATAATATAAATTGAAAATCATATTTCATGTAATGGGTTTTTGTATATATAATTGCTGACTTCTGAAATATACAAATGACTTTTTATTTCGCCATCACCCGTAGCTATTAAGCTCTCTTTATAAAACTTTTGTTGCCGTCATTAAAATGTATCATGGTCATTATTCTACAAAAAATGGCCTCAATTTGGTAAGATTTGATTCGTCGGAGCGGCAGGATTCATGGTTTCGACCAATCAGATCGTTCCAAATTTCGGCCATTTTGGAGACGCTCTAGGCGACAGGATTCATGGCTTCGACCAATGAAATCGATCCAAATTGCGGCCATTTTGGAGACGCTCTAGGCGGCAGGATTCATGTCTTCGACCAATCAGATCGTTTCAAATTGCGGCCATTTTGGAGACGTTCTAGGCGGCATTATTCATGTCTTTGACCAATCAGATCTTTTCAAATTGCGGCCATTTTTGGTACCACCGCGGAAATTGAAAATTATAACTTATTCTGTTTTATTATAAATTCGATTGATATGTGGCTGTAAATACGGTCCTGATAAATAGAATCTTCAAAAGAAAATAATTTATATACTGAAAATTCTCCCCAACGTAAGAGTTCGAGAAATTAAAATTAAACTTTAAAAATAAATCTATGAGCTCTCGGATTTTTAAATTAATTCGTATTTTCTTCTAGCTGAAATTTTTGAAGTGAAACTTCTAATGCGTCTTCTAACGAATTTTACAGGAAAATAGAAAGAATAAATATTGATCTGAAAATGTTGTAAATCGTCTCAGAATGTTTTGGATGTCTGAAAATGTTGTGATATGCCCTAAAATTTTGTAAACTGTCTCAAAATGTGGCTGATTGTCTGAAAATTTCATAAATTGTTTGAAAATTCTGTATATTGTTTGAAAGTGTTGTAAATTGTCTGTAAATGCTGTAAACTATCTGAAATTGTTGTAAATTATCAGAAATGTTGTAAATTATTTGAAATATTGTTGATCATTTGAATTTGTAATAAAATGTCTGGAAATGCTGTAGATTGTCTAAAACTGTTGTAAATTATCTGAAAATACTGTAGACAGTGCTGGATTACCCCATAGGCCCGTGAGGCCCGGGCCTAGGGCGGAACAATTTGGGGGGCGGCAAATTTTTCCGATTTTTTTTTGTCACGGCAATTTATTTTAAGGATTGATCTTGATCTAGATAATTCTCTTCTATATATAAAAACGCACAAATTAATAAGACGCAAATACAAGCAAAAACGTATTTAATACAAATAATACTTCACAATCAAATCAAATATATGAATCAAAACAAAACTAGATGCAAATATAGCAGTAATAATTTCGACCATCTCGCCACGAAGGTTGAATTATGA